CACACACACACACACACACACACACACACACACACACACGCACACACACACATATATATATATATATATTGTGTTCTATCGTTTTAACTATCGGTTGTAGTATGCATTCACTTTGGTTTGATGACACTTGAATGTTACATCTTGACTCGGGTTCCCATGTGCTTGTGCTGCTAGAAATATTCGATGACACCTGATTGTAATATTTTCAGCTAAACGTTGGTGCGACCATTTGGATGAGGTACCGACACAGGCAAAGTTTAAACGCCGAAGATAGTTCGACTCTCAACACCTAATGTTTTACCCCATTTTCCTGTGATTGGAAGAAAAGGTCATTGTTATGCCGAGAATGAATTATAGCGAGAATAGTTCCAATTATTATTAAATATTCATTCTTCATTCCTCATGATGTTTCCAATTTGTTCCGTTTTTCCACACAAAAATCTAACTAGTGTTTTAATTTGTAGGCATAATTATTTGTGTAGTAGTATGTGTGTATAGATATAATTGTTATTTCATCGTTTTGTTTCGATACAAACACTCATATATTGACGCTATTACACGTGTTTATACACGAATGTCATAATAATATCTCATTTCGTATGAAATAATGTTTGTAAACATTGTATATTTGATCCATTTGGCCAGTTATCATTCAAATATACTATTAAAACGGGTTTTCACATATCAGCGTGTCGTGTCAGAGTATGAGCGTATCACATGCAGTTTTTAAGCCCGGTCTACACAAAGAAAGGCAACATGGGTTATGCGCTTACACCACTGAGCTCTATTAATTACTATTAATTTTAACTATTAATTTATTAATAAAGCTCAGTGGCTTACACGCTGCAAAAAACCCGCGTTTTGTGAAGAATTTGGAAGACGCGGCTTTATAGCGCTTGTCTAAACTGATCCGTTTTGAAGATCAGACTTACAAGAGTCGAATGTTGAATTGATATATTGTTAATTAAAGAGGCATACGACTATCTTTGTTCAGTGTAAATGTTTATAATTAGCCCACTAAACGTTTTAGCCTATGCATATATATTTTTAAGTTACCCATGTTTCTAATAAATCATTTAAAATGTATAACAAACAATATTCCTTTTACATTGTTTAGTACACACACGCGCGTGCACCCACGGCCACATATACACGTAGCGCTTACCCTAATAATTTGTAACAATTATAGCAATTTGAAACAAAATATGATCTTTAAATGCAGCAAGGAGCAGTTCGTCTGTACCAGATTGATCTACTTTAAGTGTCTATCCCTCACAGCCCCCTAAAACATCTGAAAATTGCGATTTGCTCAGATTTATTAATGGTTCGTTTCAAGGAAATCGGCAGTAGCCATAGCACATATTTCAGATAGCAAGTTAGACCGATTCTAATAATACAACCCTAGTGTGCCCGCTACTATAGATTTTCACAGACGGCTTACAAATCACAGTATAGTATCAAGTCTACAATTCGTGCTTGTCACTAAACATTGTCGTCAAATTAATGGGAACGGAACACACGATCCACAATGAATTAGTTTTCTGGTATCCCAGTTTCGTTGGTCGTATATACGATCCGATGGTTTGCTTCATGTGGCTAACATATAAGCCTCGTCTACACGACGAACCTTAACTCGAGTTAAGTTAACTCGAGTTAGCGATTATGTAGCGTCTACATGACAACACCCGATAGCGATTATTACCGATTTATTATTATGCATGCGTGCGTGCGTGTGTATGCAAACGTGCGTGCGTGTGTGCGTGTGTGCGTGCGTGTGCACGTATACGTGCGTGCGTACGTGTGTACGTACACGTGCGTTCGTGCGTGCGTGCGTGCGTGTGCTCGTACACGTGCGTGCATGCGTGAGTGCGTACATGTGCGTGCATGTTTGCGTGCGTTCATGTGCACGTACACGTGCGTGCATGAGTGTGTGCGTGCGTGTGCAAATACACGTGCGTGCGTGCGCAGGTACACGTTCGTGCGTTCGTGCGTGCGTGCGTGCGTGTGCACGTACACGTCCGTGCGTCCGTGTGTGTACGTGCGTGTGTGTGCAGGTACACGTGCGTGCGTGCGTGCATGCATGTGCACGTACACGTGCGTGCGTGCGTGTGCATGTACACGTGCGTGCACGAGTGTGTGCGTGCGTGTGCAAGTACATGTGCGTGCGTGCGCGCGTGTGCAGGTACACGTTCGTGCGTGCGTGCGTGCGCGCGTGTGCATGTGCACGTAGGCGTGCGTGCGTGTGCATGTGCACGTAGGCGTGCGTGTGCATGTGCACGTAGGCGTGCGTGCGTGCGTGCGTGTGCACGTACACGTGCGTGCATGAGTGTGTGCGTGCGTGTGCAAGTATGCGTGCGTGCGTGCGTGTGTACGTACATCGTACTAGTGCTGCCGCCTATCGTGGAGGTTAAGCCAACTCGAGTTAAGCGTCTACACGGCCCTTAACTCGAGTTAGCTTAACCTCGATGGACTGGCGAGGTTAAGCTAACTCGAGTTACCTTAACTCGAGTTAAGGCCCCGTGTAGACGCTTAACTCGAGTTAAGGTTCGTCGTGTAGACGTAGCTATACATTGCGGTTTTAATTTGAGCTATGACATAAAAAACATACGATATCTTGTGTAGTGAAACTCAAATAGGCATTTTATTTTTGCACACTAAATATGTGACTATTTACAAATGTGATAAACGCAGACAACTTAAAACTACAATGGACATCAACAGGCTAGCACAAGCCTTCAACTGGAGACGCACACAATATTAACTGCAAGGAAATAAATAAAATACTTCAGAATAGTTAAATTTTGTAAAACTTTAAACACGATTTTAAAATCAGATAATCATTCACGTGTTCAATACAGCTGATATGATTTATAAAACTTCAAATCTTACATGACATCTTTCATGTCAATTCACTAAATGTACATACATCCATGGTACTGTCACAGCACTGCCCTATAAGTGTGTGGGTTGCGACATATATACTAAAATTAGAGATGACATAAGGATTCTTTAGAAAAATGTGCTACACCTCCAATATACTTGGATATCGATAACAACTCGATATCGCTTACACGTTCCAGGTATAACAGAGTTTCCATTCATGTACAAGTTCATGCGTGTGCGGCACGGCACGTCCATGTGCGCGTTTGTGTGTGTGTGCGTGTGTGCGTGTGTGTGTGTGCGCGCGCGCACGTTATAGCTGTATATATATATATATTTTGTTCATGCAAGTAATGATCTCGTCCTGGAACAGCTAACCGAGGAAGAAATTAATTGATTATAGTAAAAAAGTTCCGACATATCTTGCCACTTCACAAAGGAGACTAGAGGAAGTATATAAACCTTTTTATCAATTTCTTGTCTGTTGGGGTTCTACTCATGCTTGTTTGATCCTGTATGTCCTACAACTGAGGTAGCCTTCGCAAATATATAGGCTGCCTTGCAGATTGTGGCTAGCACGTTTGCACTGCCTTTGAAGTGGCACTTCACATATGCATGAAATGCTCTTAACGTGACACTTCCTAGATGTATGAATTGTCTCATGGATAGTGCCTAGCAAATGTATGTACTGCTTTGTAAGTGACACTTAGTGGCTGTGACTACTGCCCTGTAAGGGGTGCTTAGTGGATGTATGCAATGCCTTGTTGGTGACACGTAGTGTGTGTGGCCACTGCCCTATAGCTGGCACTGAGATTTAGCAGATTTATGCAATTCCTTGTGCGTAGCACTTTGTAGATGTACACATAGCCCCCTTTTAGGTGATGCTTAGCAGATGTAAGCACCATCACCTAGGTCATGCTTAGCAGATGTATCCACCATCACATAGGTGATGCTTAGCAGATGTATCCACCATCACATAGGTGATGCTTAGCAGATGTATCCACCATCACCTAGGTGATGCTTAGCAGATGTATCCACCATCACCTAGGTGACACTTAGCAGATGTATCCACCATCTCCTAATCATGCTTAGCAGATGTATCCACCATCACCTAGGTGATGCTTAACAAATGTAATCACCATCACCTAGGTGACGCTTAGCAGATGTGTGCACCATCACCTAGGTGATGCTTAGCAGATGTAGTCTGTAATGTAATCACCATCACCTAGGTGACGCTTAGCAGATGTGTGCACCATCACCTAGGTGATGCTTAGCAGATGTAGTCTGTTTCACAAGAAGTGGTTAACGATTACCGCATGAAGGCCCGGCCTAGTCGTGTGCTAGCGCTGATGCTAAGCATACGTTTACGCAGCTGGTTGCGGCAGAACTTGCAACGCTGCAAAATGGAGATGACACATCGCTTCCATTGCAGCTCAAACTCCTGAGGAGACCAGATGTGGCTGAAGCGCTGCTGCACCATCTCTGTAGCACAACAATAAGAAGCTTCAGTTAACCTATATATATATATATATATATATATATATATTACATATACACACACATTCACACGTGTGCATGTGTATATAATACACACACCTATATACTATAACTGCTGCCTATCAGGAACAACATCAACTAAGTACTAACTGTTGCTGACCAGCAACAACACAAACTATAGTAACTGTTGTCCAGCAGCCACAAGAAATAGTATTACTGTTGCCAGCTAGCAAAACACAAACTATACAAAATAACCATTGTAATATATAATATATGTAAATACCAAATAATCAGCACCACAATTACCTTTAATCATCTGCATTCTGTCAGGATCAAGTGGGTTTAGTCCATTTTTTCCACCAGGCGATGAAACTGCCAGGACGTCGGTACCAAATACGGACACAGCTAGTTTGATAGCCAGCAAAGTGCAGCCTTTCTTTGGATCACATACATCCCACTTCTTACTGTTCAGAATCAGGTGAGGCAACTCTCCCTCTATGATAAACCAGATAAAACAATGGTTATTAGCCATCGTGTCATATTGTAAACATTTAAAGAGTTTATCAGCAATTATCATTGCGATTTATTAATAATTCAGCAAGGAATTTGAAAAGTCAATTGTATCTTATTTGTTATAATTCATAATATTTGAAAAGCTGCTATCAAAACCTGGTAGAAAGTAAAAGGAAGATTCGTTTCGGATCACTTGTAACTCTTAGTAATCACTCATAGGTGCAGTAGGAGCCAGTATCAAAACTGCATTGTCCCACACGCTCTTGGTTCAGTACAGCCAGCATTGCTAGTATGCTGTGCCAGTATAGCTAGTATAGGGTGCTGTCTCACGCATACCTCTGGCTCAGTACAACCAGCATCCATACAGCACTGTATTACCTTTGACTCGTGAAAAGTTGCAGCTCCTCGAGGTGCTGGGACCATGTGCTTGCGTGAAACTGCCGGACTGTACAAGCGGCAGCTGTCTGCAACGCGCCACCAGCTCCCGCGATGGTATCTGTCGTCTACTCTTGGGGAGCATTGCAAGCGGTCTGTTGCGAGGGACTGGCCGTTGGGCAACCACTAAAGGATTCACGCATTGAGTCAGCTTTGTGAACAATAGCCAATCAGTAGCCATATTGATTATCATTAACTATAGTTTATTTTTAATGTAGCACGTGACTATACACTTTGCAAAATATTATGAACTGTGGCATACTCTGAGTGGCAAACAATTAATGCACGATACTAATTATAATGAAATAACTTCAGAGTGGATACAACTATTATTCAAGAAGATTTTACAACAATGGCCATTTCGTATGCTTTTCCAGAAGATAACGTTTGTATTTTAGGTAAAAAGCAGATATTCCTGCATTAAAACCTACACTGGTTAGCAGTGGAGGGGTAGACTCTGGGCATCGCGTCGTAGCTAGGGTCTGATTGTACCTGCTCCACCTCCCAACCACCACTAGTGGCGCCACCATCAGCCGCCTGACTAAACGGAGAAGGCTCTGACATCTATAAAAGCAATATATTACGAGGCTGAAACGACAGGCAAATAGAATCGCCTCACACTATCACGTTACTGGTCGCTGAGCCACTGCCCTCTACACACTTCTTGCCATGTTCAGATCCTGGACACTGATGGTTGAGTTTGCATAACATCATTCTGTCAGCCGTTGAATTAAAAGTAACACTAATTGAACTAACTAAAACAAGAACCCTGCTCACCCATTCAGTCGATGGAATGTCTATGGAAAACTTGAGATCAGAGGGTTGCTGCGGATCAGAGTCAAGATCGATCACTGGGGGCCCTCCATGTTTGATGGGATCTTGTATGTATGATGGTAGTAAGGAAGGAGGAAAAGTGGTAATTTCCTGGTGCTCTGAAAGAAATGAGATAAAACAAGGTGAATATTCTAATCACATCTAGCAATTGTTATAATTACTCTAAACAATAGGGGTACGTTCAGTAAAGTGCAGTAAGGTTGTATTCCTCATAATTGTAGCTGCTCAAGGATTCCTAGATAATAAATCTATAAGCTTGCTGCAATTATAACCTACATACCATTTTCCTCTGAAATTATTCCCTCCAAACTAACTCTTTCAGGAAATACTGACTGTTCTGCCACTGAAATAAAGGTGTGAAATGTATCATATTAGTTTTCTATGCCATCTATATACTAATTACCTATTACAAACATTATTATTACATGAAACGTCATTGGTAATGTCTTTCCAATCGAATAGGAGTAACATGTTTAACATTTGGTTTACAACCATTATAATATTCTGATTACAGCAGATTCTAATATTACAGCAGTGAGATGTGCTCAAGAAATATTGGTTTATAATTCTACATAGGTGAAAACACGAGGCAGGTATCTTTTAGTAGATGCAAATCTATTCCATGAATCATAGCCTAGAAGATACAAGTCAATTATAATGCTAGCATACATGGCAGAAGCCACTTAATTACAATATTATACAATAATTTTAATCGGAAATGAAGCATTAAAGCAGGCACATACCTTTTGCAACAGCACCCCTCTCGGGCTCCTTGTGCTGAAGTGTTTGGTGTTTTGCATTAGACTGTACTGTCTGCAGAATGTCTTTCATGACAGTATATATGTTACCCTGCATTCACACAAAAATTAAACCAGGGTTAGGTAACAACAGGGCAGCAAAAAAAATACACAGGAGCGGCGAGCGATTTCGCTCCCGTCAGCTTTCAAAGCGCTCTGGTAACAACAATTACGAGAGCGAAAATTTTAAAAGATACGAGAAAAAATCGCCCCCGTGCCGCCGGCAGCGTTCGAACCAGAGCCCGAGCCCACCAAGTTTTTGCTCGGGCCACCATCTCTACGAAACTCCCGGTCCTCCTGACCGACACTTTTTTCCCTCATATTACGATGAAATACTACGGTTAGCGCAAAGGCAGACTTGTAAACGGGAGCGCATAATACGACCCGTTCCTCAACGTAGACGGGGTATCCAAAACATACACATATACATTCTGCATGAACTCCCTCAACGCATGACTCGCCACACGAACAAAAGCTCGCGACAGTCTAAGAAATCGATTGCGGGCATGTAGACAGTAGTGCAATTTTTATGACCGCAACAATAAGTTTTTATATCGCAGGGGTTATCGACTTATCGTGGGGAGTGAGGGCACGACCAGTGACACCTGACACGCACATAATCAAAGCTGTTAACGTAGAAAGTGGACTATTTTTATTTAGTTAGATATCTAGAAGCAATGTAAACTGTATATACTTAAAGATTCTAGGCACGTGTAACTTTGCGGATGTGCGGCAGCATTGATCTATGCATGTGGGTACCGTGGACTGGGGAGGAGCAAAGCGAATGTAAAACCTTGCCCAGAAGCTCCGGGCATTCCTAGAGATTCCAGTACAAGTTTTTTTAACATACTCAAAGTAACTAAAAAACTCTCTCTGAAGTTCTGAACTTGCTCAGTCGATGTAAAAAGAAAGCTGAAAGATGAAAAGAAATGAAGTAAAAAAAGAAACTTGAAAATAACCATACCATCATTACCATGATTATAATTCTTGATTTCCTGTCTTTGTCATGTTACCTGACTATGTGTACTGTGTAGTGCATGTCTGTCTGTGTTAATGAAATTAAATAGGAATGTGATTGGTTTCTTAGTCGAGTGAAATTAGATAAAAAAAAATGTGATCGAATGTAATTTGTTGACGATTTCTTAACACTGCTAGTCTGATACTGGTGCTGAGTGCTGAATGCTGATAAATGATATTAGAGTCAGTGCATCAAAATTATGAACATTTTTACAAAATCATGCTATGAAAAAGTAGCTCTGGCCAAGCCTAAAATAGCTCCCGTAAAAAAAATTACGAGAGCTCTTTTTTTAATACAAAATCAAAAAAGAGCTCTCGTAAAAAAAAAGTAATTTTTAGGCTGCAACAGGGCCACAAATAATAAAGCCAGATTAAGATTGGAGAAACGCGTTTCAATCCAAATTAGATCCAGATATTTTCTGAATGCATTGTACTTGTGCCAAGTTGAGACATGTGTTGTGTGTGGTTTGTAATATGACAGCTTATACGCTAGTACATGCGTGAGCATGCGCAGTAGGTTCTCGCTCTCTCTCTCAAGATCACGGGCTCGTGTGGAAGTTGTGCTGTAAGCTCGTCCGTCAAATAAACATTGATTACATTGAATATATACCTGTGTTATGTGTCAAGAGTATATATTACATGGTCGGTGGCAAGCCAGGTGATCGTACCCGACGCAAAAGACTAGAGCAACGTGTGACAAATGAGTTTAACAACAACTGCTGACAGTCGCCTGGCTCAGACGTGCCAGAGACCCGCATTTCTTTCTTGCATTGCCAAAATGCAGAGAGTGGGAGAGCTGCAGGTTCAACTCGTACCAGACTCGTACCAACATATCTGTATATTTTACAGTCGGATCTGTCTATTAGCGACAGCCGTCGCATACTGACAGCAATCTTACCACAAGATAGACACGTCAGCCAAGATCTACCACAGGATCAATGTATTGTGAAGCATGCAGACTGTATCCATGTACAGTTCGCCGCATATATCCAAGAGATGGCCGCGAATGTCATGCGGAGAGACAGTGATCGCTGACGTAGCGAACAACGGAGCCAATCAGCGCCCTATACCAATCCGGGTCGGAGTTCAGCCCAGAGTGACGTTCTTGTTTACATAGCTAGCGAGATCCAGAATAACAGACTACCGATTCCTTGCGTACAACGGAACACAACCATACCTCCCATGTCATTACGGGTTGTTTACATCGGGACTACCTAGAACTGGTAGACGCACACGAAAACACGGAGATGGAGCGTTACGTGCGTAGACCCTGTGGCATATCGAAGTCGAGGTGGACATTATCAAACTGGTCATCCACTGACCAGCCGCTGTTGCATCCAAAACAGTAACTTTGACAGTAACAGTAACCTTGTCACTCAACAGTACGTTGTTGATTGTTGTGTGCTAGATATGTAATGGTGAGATTTTGAGACGACCCATTATGTTGTATTACCATATGCTTGTTTGTGTGAGTGTATATTGTATACATGCATGTGTTGAATGCTGATGCGAGTTAGTACCGTCGTACTTTCATACACACGCACAGTCACAACAGTGGTGCATATTGTTGTAACTGCAGCACAGCTGTGTGTTTATCGGATCAAAGTACACACGCATTATGGCTAATTTTGAATCTGCCCCGATGACTGCGTTAGCCGGATGAAGCTCCCGCATGGAATATTAATGAAGCATTCAGCCTTTTCAAACAACAATGTGAACTTATTTGACGTCAAAAACGTCGCAAAAGAAAAACAAGTCAGTCACATTCTGTTGTTAGCAGGTAAAGAAGGTGTAAAACGCTTTAACTCGTGGAACCTGGCAGACGACGATGCCAAAGATCCAGTCAAGGTCTGGGAAAAATTCAAAGAACAATTAGATCCTGACGTGAACTATCGCGTTGCAGCGTTGTGGTTACAGAGGATATAAACAGACTGCAACCGAGTCATTTGACGATTATGTCAATAGGTGCAAACTCCAGGCACAGAAATGTGGGTTTGCAGACGCTGCAGTAACAAGTGACAGAATCATTGACCAACTCATCTATGGTGGCACGTCCATCCCGACTTCAAAAAGAGTTCTTGAACAAGATAAAGAGATGAACTTGAGACGGCTTATCCACAGTGGGAAGGTCATTTGAGGCAACACTCGCCAATATGCAGAAGCTAAAGGCCGTCGATGACGACAGCGCCACAGCATCAGTCATGTATGTTAAGAAACAATTTCAAAGCTCGAAGGCATGCAGAAAAATTGTGGTAGGCGACATCCCCCAAGAAAGTGCCCAGCGTACAGTTTCTATCTGTTCTTCCTGTGACAAGTCCAATCATTGGTCACAGTTCTGCATGAGCAAAAATGCGACACAAATCACGCAGCAACCAATCATGGGAAGAAGCAGGTCAAGGTCACATGACAGTAGGTCTCGACAACAGAACCGAGTCGCAGCCAGAACAGGCCATGTGCAAGGCGTGGACCACCTTCGGCACATGAGGAAGCGACGCCATAAATGCATCAGTTGAAATTCTCAGCTTTTTCTTCCTTGGAGATTAGCTCGATAACACACATCGAACGCTACTGAGACAAATGGAGAGAAGCGTGATGAAAATCTTCACTGACATTGGTATCGAACTACCAGATCACAAAATGCGAAGACAACGTTAAAGTGAAAAGTAACACG